TTGCCAATCCCTGTCTCTTGCTGGTCAAAGTTCACTCCATGGAGTGTCCAACACTCGTGCACTTCTGAGGCCAAGGGTGCGGGGCCAAGGGGTGAGGAGGTGCAGTTGACTTGTGCCTGGGTGAAGTCAGTTGTCACAGCAGGCAGATAAAACAAGTGGCAAGGACCTGGAAGGCTGGTGTGTCTAACAGATCTTAGGCGGCACATTTAAAAGTGTCTGATACAGCTACAATTGAAAAGCAGTGGGAACCTCTACTAAAAGAAGTCAAAACCACTGAGTTGCATAATACCAAAGGACCTTCTCAGCTGAGAGATTTCTTGATGCTGGTCATCACTGAAATTGCAGCTCGGAGAGCTGAGACTAGATTCCCTTCTGATGTGCAGGGCCCATGTTCTCAGACAATCACAAACAAGATCCTGAAAATGTGTACCCCTCAGCTTTAGTCTATCCTCCTCACCCAAATTTCCATGCAACTTCAGAGTTAATGAAGATGGTGTTGGGTTTTTTTTTTTTTTTTTTTTTTTTTTTTTTTTTTTTTTTTTTTTTTTTTTTTTTTGAGAGGGAGTCGCTTTTGTTGCCTAGGCTGGAGTGCAATGGCATGATCTCGGCTCACCGCAACCTCCACCTCCTAGGTTCAAGCAATTCTCCTGCCTCAGCCTCCCAAGTAGCTGGGATTGCAGGCATGCGCCACCACACCTGGCTGATTTTGTATTTTTAGTAGAAATGGGGTTTCTCCATGTTGGTCAGGCTGGTCTCGAACTCCTGACCTCAGGTGATCCACCTGCCTCAGCCTCCCAAAGTGCTGGGATTACAGGCATGAGCCACCATGCCTGGCCACGAAGATGGTGTTTTTAAAGTGTCCTACTGGGATGGGAAAGAGAGGGGGCTGATAATCCCACCAGACAGGGAGAATTCTCATCTTGTTCTTTCAGAAAGGCCTGGCCGCCTGCCAGGTTGGACTCCCCTCCACTCAGGCGGCAGCAGTGGGCTCCAGACAGAAGACAGATGTGTTGGTATTTAAGGGATTGGAGGATTAAATAAGCTAGAGAGGCTCCCTCCATACAGCCTCATGCTCTGATGGCTGGAAGCCCACCTCTGAGTGTTATTAAATCGATGATGATATCATGGGCACTTCATGCCCCTCCCTCTGGAGCCCAGCAGGCTTGCAAAGCCTGCAGAGGATAAGAAATTGGGGTCAGAGTGGGAAACCTCAATCCTTCTCTGATGTATACCAAGATTGATGTGTAGATCAGATTCACCAGAATTAAATCTGGGACCCAGTCTGAGTGCTGTCCTTAGCTAGCCTTGGGCACACCACTCCAGCTCAGGGCCTAGGTATTCTCTGCTGCAAAACAGAGACATCACCTGCTCTCCTTATGACCTGGTGTGGGTCAAATGAGAGAAGAAAGCTTTAAAGCAAATGTGTCCTTCAGGGGACCAGGATGTGGATTGAGGTGTAGCCTGTGGGCTCCTAGAGCCCAGGATGGGGCTGATGGAAAATGACTCCCAGGCAGGCAGCCCCAGCCTCCCACAGCCAAGAAAGGACATGCACGTTCTGACCAAAGGGGAAAGAAATAAACCCAATAAAAATCTCCCAAGAAGAAAGACAGGAAAGAAAATGGAATGGAAATAGGCATAGCTGAGACCCGGCATGGTCTGGGAAGCAGACCAAGGATACAGGGCAGGGGAACGAATGGCACATTGCATTTGCATCTGAGGCTCAGCCCTTCCATGAGGCACATTGCTTCTGCAGCGGCTTGAGGGCTGGCTGAGAGGAGGCAGGTCTGGAGGCCTGCACGTGTAGTGTGGCGTGGTGTAGCACGGGATTGTGGGGGAAGTTGGGGGGTGATTGCAGTTGTTCTAGTGAGCGGCCTGGGCTGCTGACAGTGATTGTGGAAAGGAGAGAGTTTGTGACATCGAGAGTGGTGTGAGAGGTAACATTTCTGTGGAGGGAAATCTCAGGTCCCAAGAGGGACTATTCTAAATAGTCCACCAGTGCAGGGCTCTCTGCTAAGGGTTTTGTGAGCATTACTTCATTTAGCCATCACAGCCCCGGTGTGGTAGACGCAATAGGCATGTTCTGGTTATTGATGAGTAAACTGAGGCTGAAAGGGGTTGAGCCATCTGCCTACATCACAGCTAGTTCAAAGTGGCACCACTAATGAAACCCTGGCAATCTGCCCTGCAGGCTGTTCTCAGGTTTGACCCTTGGTTCTGTTTTTCACTTGGGGACACTGTCCCCTTAGGTTGTCTTCATGTATGTTCCCGTGACTCACAAGCCTGTTCACTGGGCTCCCAGGTCTCACCTGAGCTTCAGACCACGGGTCTAACAACCTTCCCGATCAAACTCAAGCTTAATGCGTCCCAGGGTGAATCTTTATTTACGCAAAATCTGCTCCAACCCACTTCCCCGGGGGATGCCTCCACTATCTACCCAGGGGCAGAACCCGGCCACTGCATCAACTCTTCTCCCCTCAACCCCCACATCCAGGGACCCAGTCACCGTACCTCCCACACGACGCTAGATGTCACACACTCGCTCTTTCCCACTGTCACCGCCAGCAACCCAGGCCCCTCACTGGAACATCCGCAACCCACGCGGGCGCTACACGTGCAGGTATCCAGTCCAGCCGCCTCGCCTCCACCCCCAAGAACAAGGGAAATCCCACATTGCCTTGTGCCCGGGGGGCGCATTTCAGTCAGCTTAGTCTGTCTCCAGGTCCCTGCCCCACCCCAGCCCAACACCCCGGCCTCAGTCAGCCTAGGCAGAGATTCCCGTCCCTAGGCAGGCAGAGAACCCCAATACATCCCAGCCCGCTGGTGGTCACGCGCGCAGCCCAGGCCGGTCAGCAGCCCCGCCCCCCGAGGAGGCCACACCCGCAGCCCCGGCCCTCCTCTGGCGGAGTCCACCCCGCCTCCCGCAGCCCCGCCCCCTCCTCCCTGGGGCCGCGCTCTCCCGCCCGCCC